GCGAAGGGGACACCTTGCAGGGGGGGAGGGAGAGGAAGGAAACAAACCTTTCCCCGAGGAAGCCAGCCCTGGACCAGTTCGCCCAAAGGCAGCCGCCCTGAACTCTCTTAAGCAGAAATCCCGCCGCAATTCTGCTTTCGCGCACGTTGGACCAAGCGCTTTCAGCGCGCCTTTAGCCATCGTTTGCAACGGGATCGTCCCGTGTGGAACCAGGAGCACCCGGTTGCAAGGGACTGCCCAAGCGTCACCCAAAGTGCGCGTCAGCAGGCGTTTACTTTCCGTCGAAGGCGGTTAGGATGCGGAACCCAAGGGGAAGGGGGGGGCTTCGCTTTCGCTTTGGCACCAGATTTGCCTCGTATGAGTCCTGCGAAGGGGAGGGAGGAGGGAAATTACGGATGTGATCGCAACGTAACGCCCAAGTCAACCTGCAAGGGCGAGCCTGGGGTGCAAGGAGAACATCACCTTTGGGGGACAGGTGAAGCCGGAGCGGCGCTAAGGTGCGTGCGGGGGATCATGGCCACTGGGTGGGGGGGGCCTGCCGCTTGTATACTCGGCTCGGCCTCCTTTGGCGGTGGGGTTTTTTGACAGGAGTCCGTCTGCCCCGCGGTCCCAGCGTGAGGGTCCTACAGCCTCTGGCAGGCGGCAGAGGTTCTTCTCGGCCAGCGGACCCTGGAGGTAAACCCGGCGGCAGTCCCCACGTGGCAACATTCCCGGGGGTGTCGAGTCTTCCGCATCCAGCCGGTGACCCGGGTCGCGCCTGGGATGAAAACCCAGGTGGAAACGCAGGGATTCGATGCAAATAAACGTATGATAAACAGAGAGAGAAATAAACGTGTCTGAATGAATAAATAAAATGTGTTTTGAATAAATAAATAAATAAATGTGTTTGAAGCGAAACATTTATCATCTTCTCGACCTCCCCCCCAACCCTCATCTGTCGTATCGGAGCGTCAACGGAATCCCGGCCTTTTGACTGTAGAGAAATAAGGATTATAAATAACAGCGGGAAATTCCCCACGTAACCTAATCTGGTTTGGCTCCTGACACCCAGTCCACTATGTTATGAAGCGCAGAAAAGAATTCCGTGACACAAACCCGGATATTGCCTTCCCTACATACCGCAGGCGTTGACCCGGAGAAAGGAAACGCTTCCAGATTCAGCTCCCCCTCTCCCTTAGTCCAAGGCGGTTTACAAGAATAGTCAAAACATCCCCGGCTGCAATCAAAGATAAAAGAGCCATCCCCAGATCCCCGCCCCCCTTTAAAGATAGCTGTCATGCAACACACACACCCCCAACGCCCTGGCAAAACGGGAAAGCATCGCCGCTCCGGCTGAAGGTTCTGCCCGCAGGTCTCTGCCCAGCGAACGCTGGGCTAACGTGGTGGTCTCCCGTCCCAGTCGTACCCAATGCCTGCTTCGCTCTCGCCCCCGGGCCCGGCTGCGTCTCCAACGCGTCGCCCGCGGGCTCCTTTACCCGGCGCTCCCTTTGCAGGCTTTCTCCCCCCCCCCCCAGGATGAAGCTGCCCGGCTGCTCACCCACCTCGATCCCCTCCTCCACCGAAGCCCAACTCCAGGCGGGAGGGGGGCGGGAGGTGGCGGCGGCCACCGGTGGGGGGCGGTCCGGGTGGCTTGACAGGTGTGCGCGGGGCCC